TACAAACAACAAATAACATGCACATATATGGTATCGCTGCGATCGTCAAGAGCTGGAAAATTTATTTTGGGTTATTCTTTGGTGGTGGTTTATGGTAGTAACAAGAAACACACAGCTAAATTAAAAAAAAAAAGATTTTTTTTTTTTTTTACTATTTTGGGCTAGTTTTCCTTTGATAATAAATAAAAAAAAATCAGGAGATATCCATTACCATTTGCCACCAAATGAAAACCCAATTTGTCCTGAAAAAAAACACAAGGTATAATCCACCTAGATACTGTGTTATCACTTGTATCTAATGTCTTCATATTAATAATACTTTGAGTACAAATGTTTTCAGCGCTGCACCAATTTTAGAATTTTTTTTTTTATTTCATGCATAGAATGCCTTGAGCCTTTACACCAGGGGTCTCCAAACTGCAGCCCACTGGCCAGATGTGTCCCTTTGCTTGCTTTTGTCACCACTGATTTGAAGCACTATTCTTCCCACTGACCTGAACAATGGGGCGCTATTGCTTCTACTGACCTAAACGATGGGGGGCGCCGTTCCGCCCATTGACCCGCATGACAGGGCGCCGTTCCGCCCACTGACCCCAGCGACGGGGCTCCGCTCCTTCTGCTAACACCAGCCACAGGGCTCTTTTTCCTCCCACTGATACCAGAAATGGGGAACTAATTACCCCACTGGCACCAACGATGGGACACTTTTTCTCCCACTGACCACCAAGCCAAGGGTAATATTTACTCCCGCTGATGCCAGGGCATTTTCTACTCCCACTGGCCACAATCCGGCCCCCCTGAAGTTTGAAGGGCAGTAAACTGGCCCTTTATTTCAAAAGTTTGGAGACCCCTGCTTTACACCCACTATAAGGTCTACTCTACCTGCCATCACATATGTGCATTATGCTGTTAGGTGGAGGTTCAAAATTATTTACAGCCCACGTTGTTTTTGTAGTTTTGGAGGCATTGTGCAGAGTCAGAACCCCTGTCATGTTTTTATTGCTGTCTGCTTCCCCTCTGGGAGATTTATCCTCTCCATTTGTTCTGGTGACCATTGATGCTGGGACAGAAAGTGATAGGAACTCCAAAATGTAACAATTATTACCAAAGCTAGAAAAGAAAAATCTTGCAATGGAGCCGCCTGTTCAGGTGGAAACTCTATATGAGGGGAATTTTTCTAACTTTTGAGAGATTTCCTTTGACCTTTTTTTTTTGAATTTCTAGAACAGGGAATGAAGGGAAATCTCCCTGGTGAGGCATTGACAGCACAAAAACAAAAAGACAGGGGCATTACCCTTTTCTACTCCAAAAACTCCTCAAAAAAATGTGTTCGTTATACAAACATATTAAAGTGGACCTAAAACAATGGGCACTGCTGACCTTAAAGTGGTATAAAAAAAATGTAATATTGCAGCTTACATATCATTAGATGTGGTGGCTTCTTTAGTTTTCTTTTGTTATGCTTTTCCCCTTCGTTTTCACCTGGTGATCTTACAAGTAACACACATCCTGCAATGGCAGCTGTACTGCTTTACTGGCAGATTTAGATACATTAACAATCTGAAGCTGAACTCTAGATAATGGTTTATAGGCAGGTACAGCAAACAGTTTTCTCCTTACGGGATAAAGGTTTTACATGGCTTGTGTCAACACTCTTTTTAAAAAGGTGTTTATTTTGCATTTATAAAACACAAACAATAACAGAACAAGAAAAAGATAAATAATAATAGAAACTAAAATAAAAAAGTAAGGGCACATAAAAGGGGATCAAAAAACAAACAACAAATTATTGCAGGCCAGAAGCCCCATTCACATGACCAGAAAGGATCACAAAACAAAAATAGTAACATAACAGGTAAGCAGTCAGAAACATACAAATACACAGCCAAACACATACAACAGACACAAACAACCACACCATCAACTCCCTTACAGATCAGAGGAAATCATTAGCATGTAAAATCCAACCACTCAAATCACAGAACCCTATGACAATGGTTGTGGCAAGAGAGCATCTCCCCAAAAAGAGTCCGCTATATCCAGCCAAGGCTGCCAGATTTTTGTACATTTTTTGGGGCAGGCCCGTCCTTTATAGATCAGCTTTTATTGGGGCAGCACCAGAATAACCATCTGATAACATCGGTGTATAGAGGGCGGAGTATCACCCTTCCAATTCAACAAAACAAGTTTTCTAGCTTAAAACAAAAGCAAACGTATCAATATTCTAGAATGAGTGTGAGGAACAAAATCATTCAAAATGGCCAACTTCTGGGGTACGTGGCACTGGCAAATGCAAAGTTTCATCAAAAAAAAGGAAAGAGGTCCTGCAAATATGAAGCAAGGCCCGAGCAGGCCCAAAACATGTGCAACAGATCAGCACCTTCAAGGCCACAACGAGGACACCGATCCAAAGCCCATACGGGCCAGCTGGGCCGGGGTATAGTGAAGATGATGTATGAATTTGAATTGAATAAACCTAGTGTCAGCACTCTTAACTGATACATTTGCGGGAGAGCTTGTTCTGCTGAAATACAGACTTACTGGCCAGATCACCAGGTGAAAATAGATGGGATGGCTGCATTAGTTTTATTTTTTAGGCTTTCTTTCTTCTAAGAATTCGTATAATAAATGTTTTGCTTTTGGATTTAATACTGCTTTATTGTCCCTATTCAAAAGCATCTGTTGACCTCACAGCATGGGCCATAATGAAACCATGAATGAGACTTCATGTCCGTAACAATGATAGATATATTTTTCTGCTGAATGATAAAATTCATAGTCTGTATTTTAGATTTCATATTTAGTTGGAGTAAGTAATTGCTTGTGAAATTAGTTTTCTAGTGTGAGAGAAATGGCTTTTGCTTTGGGAATTACTATTGTATAAAGGGCTTACTGCATAAAAGTTTTATACCAATACCAGGTTTCTAATGTATTCTGAGATTTTTATCTGCAGTAATTGCAATCCAGCTTTCTGACCCTGACTGCTCAGGTATCAGCCACAACATTAAATTAGGAAATAGACAGGGGAGATGCTTGAGATTGTATTAATTAAAGTCCAATTTTCCGGCCGAGATTTGCTGAGCGACCGAAGAGAAGCGGTTTGCAGTACAAGAAGAAGAACGCTACCAAGTGATGTTTGTGTCGGAGAACATAAGAAAACAGAAACCTTAGTGCTGTTTCATCAAATACATATTTATGACCCTTTCTGTAAAAGAATACGCACTTAAAAGAGAAGTAGGGCTTACCCCCACCCCCCCTTTTATACTTTCCTAGGTGGACCGATGCTGCATCTGTCCCCCGCCGGCTGTAAAGGTGAGAACTCGGCGATCACATGACCTCTAATCGCAGAGTTCTCCTCTCCGCTGTCAGTCATCGCTGTCTGCTCTGCCTCCCCAGTGCCCACTGGAGCGCTGGGCTGTGGAGGCTGTGGGCTGATTCAGGCTTTCAGCAGATCGCTGAGAGGCTGAGTCAGGTGCCACTGCAGACTCGGGTGGATCCCGAATTTGAAGTCAGGATCTTTTTGCAGCCTGGACCATCTGAGTGACGTCAGCTGACAGCAGACTTCAGCCTGCTGTCAGCTGACAATGGGTCGCAGGATTGCAGATCGAATTGCACTCCTGGGATCCACAGGAGAACTACAGCCAAATAAGCTATGGCTGTACTTCTCCTTTAACCATACGTATTTATAACCAAATCTGTACCGTTTACCAGATGTGACTGACAATAGAATTGAATCTCCTTTCATTTGGGTTCTCCATCTTGCTTGCAGCATGTCCAGTCAAAGAACAGTAAAGCTGGCCATACTTGACTTGAATTTCGTGTGATTTCTGTAGAATTGGCTGTAGGTGGCCTTGATGACACCACCCGGCTCAACAAGCTTCGACTGAAAAATAGGAGGATCTGGATGGCCATCTCTGCTCGCTCATTTGACCAACTCTGTTGATTTGTAATGTTGGAAAATTTTCCTTGATCAACAGCTGCAGCCAATCAGTGGGTGCCACTTTCAAAATGCAATGTCCCACCAGGGAGGATTCCTCCATCTATCCTATTTCTGTGGATGGAGGACTCTTTAAAAAAAAAAGAAAAAACCTTAGTGTATGGCCAGTGTTAGGCTGGGAGGACGAATGTGCCTACTATGTGCTGTTTCAGTTTGAAGTATCGCTAAACCAAAACATTTTTTTTCTTACTTTTTGATAGATTGTAAAAGTGCTAGAACCACTAACAGGTTTCTGTTGCTGTCTAGGTCCCCGCTGAGAGTTACCTTCTCTAATTGTTTTAGATCCATCTCTAATTGTTCCTGGTCCATGCTGTATTTATTGAGTGGTCATGTGGTATTTGCTGATGGCTAGGATCCATGTTCAAGGCTGAGACCATGTAACCAATGTCCACCTCTACCACTACATCCTAAGACCATGTTACCAAAGTCCACCTCTACTACTACATTCTGACACCATGTCACCAATGTCCACCTCTACCACTACATTCTGAGACTATGTCACCAATATCCACCTCTACCACTACATTCTGAGACTATGTCACCAATGTTCACCTCTACCACTACATCCTAAGACCATGTTACCAAAGTCCACCTCTACTACTACATTTTGACACCATGTCACCAATGTCCACCTCTACCACTACATTCTGACACCATGTCACCAATATCCACCTCTACCACTACATTCTGAGACTATGTCACCAATGTTCACCTCTACCACTACATCCTAAGACCATGTCACCAATGTCCACCTCTACTACTACATTCTGACACCATGTCACCAATGTCCACCTCTACCAATACGTTCTGAGACTATGTCACCAATGTCCACCTCTGCCACTACATTCTGAGACCACATCACCAATGTCCACCTCTACTACTACATTATGTAAATACACAACAAAGTTGGCCATACACCATGACGAGATTGCAGAAAAGGAGAGGCAGTCATATACACTATATTGCCAAAAGTATTGGGACAGCCCTCCAAAATCAAGCACCTAGGCAGACTGCTTTTACAAACATCTGTGAAAGAATGAGTCGCTCTCAGGAGCTCAGTGAATTCAAGCATGGCACCATAATAGGTCGCCACCTGTGCAATAAGTCAATCTGTGAAATTTCCTTGCTACTAATTATTCCACGGTCAACTGTTAGTGGTATTATAAGAAAGTGGAAGCAAATGGGAACAACAGCAACTCAGCCACAAAGTGGTAGGCCACGTACAATGACAGATCAGGTTAGGCGCATGCTGAAGCACACAGTGAGCAGAAGTCGTCAACTGTCTGCAGAATCATTAGTTAAAGACCTCCAAACTTTGTGTGGCCTTCAGGTGAGTACAACAACAGTGCGTAGAGAGCTTCATGGAATGGGTTTCCATGGCCGAGCAACTGCACCCAAGGCTTATATCACCAAGTGCAATGCAAAGTGTCGGATGCAGAGGTGTGTAAAGCACGCTGCCACTGGACTCTAGCAGTGGAGACGTTCTCTGGAGTGACGAATCACACTTCTCTGTCTGGCAGTTCGATGGACGTGTCTGGGTTTGGTGGTTGCCAGGAGGACGGTACTTGCTTGACTGCATTGTGCCAAGTGTAATTTGATGGAGGGGGGGGGGGGTTATGGTGTGGGGTTGTTTTTCAGGGGTTGGGCTTGGCCCCTTAGTTCCAGTGAGGAGAAATCTTAAGGCATCAGCATACCAAGACATTTTGGACAATTTCATGCTCTCAACTTTTTTTGGGATGGCCCCTTCCTTTTCCAACATGAATGCACACCAGTGCACAAAGCAAGGTTAATAAAGACATGGATGAGCGAGTTTGGGGTGGAGAAACTTTACTGGCCTGTACAGAGTCCTGACCTCAACCCGATAGAACACCCTTGAGATGAATTAGAGAGGAGACTGTGAGCCAGGCCTTCTCGTCTGACATCAGTCCCTGACCTCACAAATGCACTTCTGGAAGAATGGTCAAACCTTCCCATAGACACCCTCCTAAACCTTGTGGACGGCCTTCCCAGAAGAGTTGAAGCTGTTATAACTGCAATGGGTGGGCCAACTCAATATTGAACCCTACAGACTAAGACTGGGAGGTCATTAAAGTTCATGTACATGTAAAGGCAGGTGTCCCAATACTTTTGGCAATATAGTGTATTTCAGATGATGGTCACCTGACTATCTTATTAATTCAGCCATTCCCTGTTATTTTTTCCTGAGATTAGTCAGTAACTATCTATGTACTCTCCTTGCTTCATAGGTATAAGCATTCATTCTTCAATAACTGGAGCTTCAGTTTTTATGTCCAAAGAAAAACAAAAAACAAATGTAAGACCAGTTAATTTGTGTTTCCAGTGCACACAGACAATTTAGGTGAGGTTTTAACTTTTGTCATGGAAGTAATAATTTTTTTAGTTCAGTTTTACTAGGGAATGATGTGCTGAGGAAGTGTGTGACCACTCAAGAGCTCATTTTTATTTTACATTCTTCTACATGGGTTGAGGCATTGACCATGTGGTCTCTGTTAAAGCATTTTAAGGAATTGATTAGGTGTGGCCTACCGGGAATAGCCAGGTAACAATATTGTGTATGTCACATGTTTACATTGTCCTTATATGTGCCTCCGGTTTTATATACCTCATAGTATTTTTCTTGTTACAGGTTTCATATTGCAGACTTTGGAAGATTGGAAAAGTACAACACGGTGAAGGTATGTCTATGCTCTGGTTATATCCCCCATCCTTTATTTCTCTGTATTTACACTTCAGAGACTCGCTCCTATCTGTACTTTGGACAATTTGCACCAGGTGAACATGGACCTGTTGTAGTGGGCATACTATGCATGAGCAAAGCACAGATTTCTTTTACGAACCTCATTACCACTGGCAGTAAATGGAGACAATTCCGATTCCTACCAGAGTTCATGGACATTTTAAGGCATTTATATGCCATGAATACATTTTCTGTTGCTTTCTTATGCCCCAGGACCTCAGGTGCCACATTCAGTCTGCCATAAAAGTGAATGGCTATACTTGGCCATACTCTTGTAAATGCAGATTTTTATTTGTATCTGCGTTTATCCGCACATGTGCATACAATATATTTTCCGAAGGCAGAAGTTTCACGCTTGGGAAGTTCACTGTAAGCGCATGCACAATTAAACGCTGATGCAAAGAGGTATAGAAATTTACAAGTGTGTGTGGCCAAGTACAGCCATTCACTAGTAGGGCATGCTGAATACAACACCTATGGCTCCCAGACACAGAAAAGTGATAGAAAAATTTGTACTAGGCATATAAAATGCCTACAAATGTGCATGAACCCTGATTGTGCCTAGTCAGTGTAATGTGCTGATACTTGTGAGCTGTATACAGGCATTGTGATGTTGCTGCCCAAGCATTGTCTGTATTACCTATGTTATGGTTAGGCTACAGCTGTGTGTTCACACAGTATTCACCTTTAAACATAATCATCATTAAATTCTGACAACAATGACAAAGCAGTGATCATCTAACCTTTATAGAACCTCTAGAACAGGGATCCGCAAACCAAGGCCTACAGGCCACATCTGGCTCGCTATGAGATTTTCTGGCCTACAGGTAGGGTCAGCGGTGGATCCCCAACGTCAATGCACAGATGCAGAATTCAGATTTGTTGGTCTCACCTTTTTTCCTCCTGCAGTTTTCAACGCAGGATTGATGGGGACACTAATGCAAAAGGGGACTGTGATAGGGACACTGGTGTAAGAGGGGACTCTGATAGGGACACTGGTGTAAGAGGGGACTCTGATGAGGACCCTGATGTAAGAGGGACTCTTATGAGGACCATGATGTAAGAGGGACACTTATGAGGACCATGATGTAAGAGGAACTCTTATGAGGACCATGATGAAAGAGGAGCTCTTATGAGGACCATGATGTAAGAGGAGCTCTTATGAAGGCCATGATGTAAGAGGAACTCTTATGAGGACCATGATGTAAGAGGAACTCTTATGAAGACCATGATGTAAGAGGAACTCTTATATGAGGACCATGATGTAAGAGGAACTCTTATGAGGACCATGATGTAAGGGGAACTCCGATGAGGATCATGATGTAAGAGGGACACTTATGAGGACCATGATGTAAGAGGGACACTTATGAGGACCATGATGTAAGAGGGACACTTATGAGGACCATGATGTAAGAGGGACTCTTATGAGGACCATGGTGTAAGGGGAACTCCGATGAGGATCATGATGTAAGAGGACACTTATGGGACCATGATGTAAGAGGACACTTATGAGGACCATGATGTAAGAGGGACACTTATGAGGACCATGATGTAAGAGGGACTCTTATGAGGACCATGATGTAAGAGGGACACTTATGAGGACCATGATGTAAGAGGAACTCTTATGAGGACCATGATGTAAGAGGGACTCTTATGAGGACCATGGTGTAAGGGGAACTCCGATGAGGATCATGATGTAAGAGGGACACTTATGAGGACCATGATGTAAGAGGAACTCTTATGAGGACCTTGATGTAAGAGTAACTCTTATGAGGACCAATGGTGTAAGGGGAACTCCGATGAGGATCATGATGTAAGAGGAACTCTTATGAGGACCATGGTGTAAGGGGAACTCCGATGAGGATCATGATGTAAGAGGGACACTTATGAGGACCATGATGTAAGAGGAACTCTTATGAGGACCATGATGTAAGAGGAACTCTTATGAGGACCATGATGTAAGAGGAACTCTTATGAGGACCATGACGTAAAGAGGAACTCTTATGAGGACCATGACGTAAGAGGAACTCTTATGAGGACCATGACGTAAGAGGAACTCTTATGAGGACCATGACGTAAGAGGAACTCTTATGAGGACCATGGCGTAAGAGGAACTCTTATGAGGACCATGGCGTAAGAGGAACTCTTATGAGGACCATGGCGTAAGAGGAACTCTTATGAGGACCATGACGTAAGAGGAACTCTTATGAGGACCATGACGTAAGAGGAACTCTTATGAGGACCATGACGTAAGAGAACTCTTATGAGGACCATGACGTACAGTTGTGTCCAAAATTATTCAACCCCCACTGAAATTGAGTGTTTTGGCCAGTTTGACATTGCTTTTGATCATTCAGTCATCTTGCTTACATTTACATTAAAGAGGCACTTGTAGGTCAGACAAATATAACATAACAGTTTATAATGAAATAACCACAAATGTCTTTTCTGTGCTCACAGCATTATCAGTTTTATTCAACCCCCAAGTGACATTCAATCTTAGTACTTAGTACAGCATCCTTTTACAGTTATAACAGCTTTTAAACGTGAAGCATAGCTTGACACAAGTGTCTTGCAGCGATCTACGGGTATCTTCGCCCATTCTTCATGGGCAAAGGCCTCCAGTTCAGTCACATTCTTAGGCTTGCGCACTGCAACTGCTTTCTTTAAGTCCCACCAGAGGTTCTCATCGGATTTAAGTCTGGTGACTGCGATGGCCACTCCAAAATGTTCCAGCCTTTCCTCTGCAACCATGCTCTAGTGAACTTGGGAGGTATGCTTGGGATCATTGTCCTGTTGAAAAGGGTCCAACGTCTCCCAAGCCTCAGGTGTGTCTGACGGACTGCATCACGAATACAACATCCAATATCTCCTGGACACAGAAGATTAGAATTCATGGTACCATTGCCTACACGCTGAAGCTTCCCTGTATTGTGCCTGCAGAATGTGCAAAACAGCCCCAAAGCATTGTGATTGACCCTCCACCATGTCTGTACAGTAGGCAAGGTGTTTCTGGTTATCATAGGCCTGTGTGTTCTATTCCTCCTCCAAACATAATCATCATTATCTGACAACAATGGGCCCAAACAGTGATCATCTAACCTTTATAGAACCTCAGAACAGTCCACAAAACACTATCCCACAACTTTTGTGGATTTTCTCCACATGGCTAGGCATACTGGATCCCCAACGTCATTGCACAGATTCTTCAGATTTTTGGTCAGCAAGGGGGTTTCGCCTGGGAGTTCTGGCACGGATGGGGACATTACGCAGTGGGACGTGATTATTGACACTGGGCTAAGAAACTCTGATAGGGACACATCTGACAAATCTTTGATGAGTTCCTCAGATGTAACACGGGACTGTTCTGAGGACCATGATTCAGGTAGGGCACACTTATGTCCATGATGTCAGAGGAACTTCTTTCTGCCACGTAAGAGGAGCTCTTATGAGGACGTTGTAAGAGTGCCTTATGAGGACCTTGAATGTAAGAATGAGGACCATGATGTAAGAGGAGTCTTATGAAGGCCATGATGTAAGAGGACATCTTATGCAGGACCTGATGTTATAGCTCATGAGGCCCTTCCTGATGAAGAGGGACAATCAGGACCTCTTCTGTAAGTCTTTATGGGACCATTAAGAGGAACTCTTGCCTTCACCATGTTTGTAAGGGGAACACCATGAGGATCATGTCTAAGAAGAGGCCATGATGTAACAGGAACTCTTAAAAGCTGGACCTAATGTGAGCTCTATTAGGACTGATTGCTGCTCTTATGAGTGACCATGATGTAAGAGGAACTTTTCAATACCTGATGACGTAAGAGGACCTTATGAACCATGACGTTCTTCAGAGGACCATGACGTAAGAGGAACTTTAAGGGACGTAAGAGGAATAATTGTGGCAATGAAAGAAACCACATATGAGGACCATTTACTAAGAGTAACTACATAAACCATTAAGATGAACTTTTAGTTGCATTTGGTAGTTACAGGACCATGACGTAAGAGGAACACTCTTATGAGGACCTGACGTAAGAGGAAACTCTTATGAATTCCAAATGTACACTAAGAGGAACTCTTATGAGGACCATGACCTTTAGGAATCTTATGGGACCATTAAGAGGAATTTATGAGGACACAACGTAAGAGGAACTCTTATGAGGACCATGACGTAAGAGGAACTCTTATGAGGACCATGACGTAAGAGGAACTCTTATGAGGACCATGACGTAAGAGGAACTCTTATGAGGACCATGACGTAAGAGGAACTCTTATGAGGACCATGACGTAAGAGGAACTCTTATGAGGACCATGACGTAAGAGGAACTCCGATGAGGATCATGATGTAAGAGGGACACTTATGAGGACCATGATGTAAGTGGGAACTCTGATATATGGGGGAATCCAGTGGAGAGCATGATGTATAGAGACTTTGATGGGGACCATGATGTAAGGAGAGGGGGCCCCGATGTGGACCATGATGTAAGAGGGGACTGTGATGGGGATCTTATGGGCCCTTGATGTAAGGGGGACTCTGATTAGGGGAACAGTTTTTTGCTTTTGCACTAAAGGTCTTTACTAAAGGTCATACTGCAAAAAATATTCTGTTATAAATCTGATTTTTTTTTTTGCCTGCAAATATTTGTAAAATTTACAATACAGCCCTCATAGTGAAACGTTTTGAAACCAAATCGTCTATATAAGATTTTTTTTTGTAATGATACCAATGCCTGTACATTTTGTTGGCGACTTGTAGAGTATCACTTGGTTTTGTTTATTGGCGTTGTCTAATCCCGTTCTTTCACCTGCCTCAAAGAATGACATGTACACTAGTAAAGAAGCTTGTCAATATTTGTACTACGTCTTTACTTATTGATAAACTGAATGTGATGCATGTGTAAGTATTTGTGTAAGCGGCTATACCGGGTATTCTAGAAA